ATCTGCAAAGACCTTTACAAGCAGGGTCACACGTACAGGCTCTGGGGGTTAGAATGTGGACACACCTTTTGCGGGGCCACCTTTCAACCCCCACGGTGAAACAGTGATGTGTGACAGTAAGAATGAAGAAGCAAGGTGAGATCGCATTTTATTTTTCTAAGCTATGAAATGCACGCAGTAATAGTGGCTTATGGAAGGCCAGCTGTACTCGGCATCATTTCCCTGTAACAGGAAGTGCTGATCCAGCGCCTCTGGCCAGGGTTGGACGGGGGTTAGTTTGGTGAACAAGTATGTCAGATGCACTCAGGAAGGCAAATCGAAAGACAGCAGAAAGGCAAGAATGTCTTAAATTGTTCAAAAGCAGATATGGTGATGCGTGTAAGAGGCTCTGAGTAGGACGAGGCTCAGCACCAGCACTTAATAAATGCTGAATTCACCATCGTGAGTGTAATGATCACTGTTGTGTGTTTATATCCATATCATATACCTCTGTATTTTAATGAAGCTGGTCATAGATAAAAGAAGGGGAAAGAGCCACCCCCCGCCCCAGGAAAAGAAGACAAAGAATTGAGCTGAATCCCTAAGTCACCACCAAACGTGTTTTGATGGCAAAACCTTTCTTTATGAGCTCTCGCAGCTCCTCGCCGATGCCGTTACCCCTGGTCAGGCTCGTTCACGGCTCGCTTTACATGCCCATCCTTCTTTTATATGATCATCAGGACGGCACTAATTTGGGTTTGCAAATGAGATTCTCTTGATGTTGTCATGTCAGCATCTGGACTCAAGACAGCTGCTTCCCAGAACCAGGCCCTCCGGTGCGGCCCGCGAGGAAGCCCAGCCCCTCCCCATTTCTAATCACCCCCAGGAGCCTGGGGGATTTGCTTATGGGCCCAGGAAGCCATAAACAGTAATGAAAGTGTTTGTATTACTGCTGGCATAGGGTTGCCCTGGGGGTCCCTTCCCCACCATTAAATTCGGGGTCCTCCTTCTGTCTTTGAGCTCATTCATCCCTTCATCCCTCCACCCATTCATTCGTTCGTTCATGTATTCATTCATTTGTTCAGAGAACCACTGTTGAGTGCCTGCTTAGAGCCACTTCGGAGTGCTGTGCGTCCCATTCCCCACAGCAGGGCGGGAGGGGACGGCGCTGCAGTGGGAGGAGGTGAGAAGGGGTGTGTATGGGGGTGCCCTGACCAGGAGCCCCGTGGCTGTGGGAAATTCCTCCAACTCTTCTCTCTTGGCTTCCTCCTCTGTAAAAGTGAGAGGCTGGTATAACAGCGGCTGCCTTACTGAGTGGCCGCGAGAATTAGAGGACGTAACGGATGTGAACGCACGTGCCGCCTAGTGACACAGGGCAGCGACAGCCGTAAGAAGCCCTAACACGTACTCGGGGCCACTCCTCTGAGCACTTTTCATCTGCTGGTGCGTCTCCTTCTCCCAGTAGCGCTGCTCTGCTACTGGTCCCCACGTGCCTGGGCTGCGCCCCGCCTGTCGGAATCTCCACTGCAGTTGGCCGGTGCCCGGAATCTACTTCGCTTTTCCGTACTCCCTGCCCTCCTGCCTGCTGGCAGACCCCTGCTTGCCGGGTGCTCCCGCTCCCCCAGGGAGCCTGGTGAACAGTGATTCCTGGGCCCTTCCCCCGTCTCCTCCCAACTCAGAAAGGACATCCCTCCAAGTCCACGTTCCTCTGCCTCTAGGATGATGAGCCGGCCGCCTGGGTGCTTCGCAGTTGATGTTCCAAGTGTCCCACCAAACACAGGGGGGGAATGCACCTTGGATCTGCTAAGAGCTGTGCGGAGGGGCGAGGTCAGGGCCAGCGCCTCCCCGTGGGTCTCGGTGGCTCTGGTAAAACTGGGTGGAAGGAGCTACATGTAGCTGCTTTCCTGACTGTGGAAGAGTAAGTTCCCCGTGCATTTACTGGGCGCCTTCTGTGTGCCAGCTCCCTGCTGGGCCTGGGGAGCCTGGATGCACCGGAGGAACTTGACCTTCAGGGAGATCAAGGCACTGTCAGCCCGGCCTTGGATAACGGAGCCCCCAAGAAAGACCCACAGGAGCTTTCCAGAGGCCCGTTACGGCGCCCAGCACGCTCCTACCAGCAATTTGACATCTCAGCTGGGGAGGGAAATCCCTACCCGCCTCCTTCCAGGGACACTGGTTGTTCCAGTGGAGACAGACCCTGAGTGCCTCTGGGCGGAGCCGGGGGCCAGGGGCACCACAGGCGGCTTCCAGTCCCAGCTCCGCCATGGACGCGTTGCTTAGCCTGCCTGAGCTTCGGCCGCCGCGTCTGAGCGGTGGATGTGATTACCATGTACCTTGTAGGAGGTGTGGGAGGGTTCATGCGGTGACAGCTGAGTAACCTCAGTAACCATGGTGACCAGAGAGACGGCATCCAGGGATGCGGTGAGATTGACTTCTGGGAGGGCAGCAGCCGGCCAGGCCTCTCCTCTGGTATACAGCGGTGGTCTGTAATGGTCAGCTGACTGGAACCGAGTTGAAAGGGACGAGGAAGGGCAGGTTGGAAGGGAGCGCCTGTGAGAACTGGGTGGGGGCAGCTGCAGAGGCCAAAGCCCAGACCAGGGTCTGGGGGTGGGGGCACATGTGGTCTAGGAGTCCTCCTTGTGGGCATGGGGGCCCAGCTCCCAGCGCGGGCGGCTCTGGCCTGACAGCTATCTGAACCCGGGCCAGCCCCTCCATACTCGGCGTCTCCCTTCCCCCATCTTTACAATAGGAGCCGCAGTGCCAGCGGCCCCCACCCAAGGGTGCCATGAGAAACACATGGTGGGGGAGGGGGCATATCTGAGGATTAGGAACAAGGTGTATCCCCAAGAGGCGCAGTTTCCATTGCAGAAATCACAGACTCTGCTTTTCCTGGCTCGGTGACTCTCAGACAAAAGGGACTGATCTGGAGAGAGTCTGATGGGAGGTCCATCCCCCACCTCCCATCCTCTGTCTCCCCTCCCTTCCCTCCAACCCTGTTGGAATCACTTCTGTTTAGAATAAGTTGTGTCCCTAATAGGGTTGCCAGACAAAAACAAAAAAACAAAACAAAAAAAAGACAGGCTGCCCAATTAAATTTGATGTCAGGAAACAATTGTTTTTTAGGGTAAGTATGTCCCATACAATATTTGGGATCTGCTTATACTGAAAAATGATCATTTAAAATTTAAGTTTAACTGGGTGTCCTGACCTTTTCCGGCAACTCTCGTCCCTGGGTACATTGGGAAGTTGTAGAGTTGCAGAATTTCTGGTTTCCTGATCCAGCTGCTACCACCCACTTTATAGACCAAGCACCAGAGCCAGGGTCAGACAGCAAGGTGGTGGCCAGTGGGGAGGGAGCTGGGTCCCAGACTCCCACTCCAGTGTGACAGTGATGGAGGTGAAGTGGCAGAGTGTAGCCCCTCAAACAAGGGGTGGTTGTGTTTTTAACCCCTCAGAACCAGAGGAGAAGGTTCCGAGCTGAGACAGCATCACCTGGTCCCTGAGGGTGACAGCAGTGGCTTCCAGGAACCGGGCCCCCAGAGCCCCACCTGTGTTCAGGGTTTCCCATAAACTTCACATGCTTGCTAACACACTTGAGTTGTGATTTAAGTGCAATCTCATTTCTGCCTTTTTTCCTTTAATCAAACACAGCATTGGGGAGGAGGAGGGAGCATGGAGGAAGAGGAAGGACAGGAGTTATCTTTCTTGTCTCCAAACCATTTCCTGACGTGGGCTCTGCTCCGAGTTTCTGTCTCTGAGGCTCCAACCCCTCAGATGAACAGTCTGCCTGTTTAAGTGATGCAGGATTGCTCTGGGACCCCGCCTCTTTTTAATACCTTGCACTGAGAGCCACATCCCGGTGGATTTAATCATCCCACAGATGTGGGGACGCGCCTTCCTGCCGAGAGCGGTAATTGAAGTCCTCAAACCGCTCTGTGGTTCTAATTAGCCCACCGTGGCTCCTTCTGGCCCCAGTAGAATTTACAGCTCCTCCGCCTCCAGATTTACCAGCTGGTCCTAGAAGGTGTGAGTTAGGCAAAAGACAGCAGGAGGACACACGGATTTCCTTGACGGGCTGGTCTTTTTCAGAGGGTCATCGCAGGGCCTCGCAGAGGGGTGGCCTGTCTGCCTACCCTCTGCTCCATTCCACTGCCATCCTCCACGGGGTGGGCGCCCCAGCCATGCACACGCATTCCCCTTTCCACCTGCAACGCCTCCCCAACAGGAGTGGTCTGCTCCCGCTAATGTTACAGGTCTCAGCTCTGGTGCCTCCTCCTCCAGGAAGCCATCCCTGATCCCCTGGCGGGGCCCTCACAGTCCCCATGTCTCCATCCGTGGAAGTACTGGCCACACCATGTGGTGCTTGCTTATATCTCTGACTCCCCCTCGAGACTGGGAGCTCCTAAGGGCAAGGGCATCCGTGTCTGATTCACCCTTGGCCCAGTGTTGTGGCCCAGCACAATCTGCTGAAATGGAAGGAAGGAAAAAGGAGACAAAGAAAAGGAGAGGAGAGAAAGCAGGACGGGAGGGAGGGCAGCAGCATTGTGCCCATTCTGCAGTGGGGAAGACTGAGAACATGCAACCAGGAAGTGGCCGAGCCAGGCACCCCACCTGCTGGCTTATCATGCTTTCCATCTTGAGTCTAAAGTAGCAAAGAGGAGTTTCTTGCTGATTTTGAGAAACAGGAATGGCTTTGATGAGGAGCCATGGGTAAAGTGGCACGTGCAGAGGGCTTGAAGTGAGGCGGGTGTGGGTGCAAAGCCCCACCGCACCTGCCGCAGGACCTCAGGCGGGCATTTCAGCCTTCCAGTGTGGTCCCCTCATCCTTAAAGTGGAGGCCGTAAGCCTCCCCTCCCTGGTTGCGGAGTGGACCAGACAGGATACAGGCAGGGAAATCGCTTCCCCTGTGTCACCATTTACCCTCCAGCAGTCTGGTGAGCCACTTGACACCCTCCATATCGTTAATCCCAATGTATAGGGGAGGCCACCAAGGCACAGAGAGATTAAGTAACTAGCCCCAGATCACACAGCTAGTGAGTGTCAGGGCCAGGACTGCAATGTGACCTAGGCATGTGGGAGGTACTTAAGTGGCAGCCATTACTGCCGTCATCCCCGGCACCTTCAGCATCGTCATCCCCCACCGGGACGCCCCCTTGTAGAGTCTGCCGTTTGAGCTTGTGACTTTCCTCTGTGAGTTTACCACAAGGGCACTTGCAGCTGATCTCTGGTCACCACTCCATAGTTGTGGCCCCTGGAGCACCTGGCTGAAGTCATGATGTTGGAGGGCTGTTGGGCTCACCATCCTGCAGAGGGAAGTGGGGGCCTCAAGGCCACCTCCAAGGGGATCTCAGGCCAGGAAGTACCAGAGCTTCGGGCTTGGCGTGTGTTGGGCCCAAGCTGCTGTTCCATGCTTTGGCCTTGCCCTTGGTCTCTGGGAGGCCGGATAGCTGCATCTTCCCATCCATAAGGGGTCTGGGATCAGAGGTCCGAGGTTTATGAAGATCACCATCCTAGCCACTGCATGAAAAAACTTACGAGATAAGCACGTGTAAAAGTATTTACAACAAACACAGAGGTGAGGGAGACCGTCTGAGGCGGCTCCTGGAGGAGCTCAGAAACAGCATTCGTCAAGCATTGCCGCAGTGTCGCTTGTGGGGCTGCTCTGTAAAGCACCCTCACTGTCAAGAGTTTGAGAGATGGAGAGAAAAGTCTTCACCCCGATCGGATTTTTCTAGAAGGGCAGGCAAGCTGACTAATTTCTAACATGGTTAATAAACCAGATGTTGAATACACTTTTGGACTTGTTCTCACGGTGCAGAAGTTGTCTCTGTGATGACAGTGGTGCCTTTGCCCAGTTACTGATTTTCGTACCGACTGTGAGCCATTTGGCCAAAATGCACTGGACACACCGCTAGTTTTGACAGAGTGTCTATGTGAGTTGAGACCCTTTCTCCCCTTGTGACATTCTCTGGGTCCCTCCCTGCTCAGCCTCCCTCCCACACAACTTGACCTCTTAAAAAGCGATTTCGGATCCCAAAGAGCTTCTATGTATGTGGGCTGTATCCATCAATATTTACTGTATTAGAAATGAAAACTGAAACATTGAAGGATACTCCTATATTAATTCATTTAACAATGGAAATAACAAACCCATTACATGTTAACATAAATAATTTTTTTTTCTGAGAAACAACTACGTTTTCCAAACCAAAAAATATAGTGAGAGGGGTGGCGTTTCTGTAAATCCCTTTAATGTCTGGCTTCAGAGATGACAGCTGGATTCTTACATCAACTTTTGCATTCAGTCTGTTGTGATATTTTGTTTGGCTGAGATGAGGTCCAACATCCAGCCTCACACAGATACGTAGCTGGAAAAGGAAGAACCCAGTGAATGCCCAGGGGTCCTTGGACCGCATCTAAGAACTGCTGGTTTAGGTGGTCAGTGAACTCAAGATGAAGGCAGAGAGAAAGCATGTGACCCGCAGGTCACTTCCTGCCTTGATAAGGAAACTCAGGATCTTAGAGCTCTGATGGCGTCCAGCCTGGAGACAGACCAAGAGAGAAGTACCAGCTGTGACCGACTTCACTTCAGGCTCCCAACCAAGACCCTTTGGCTCAACTGTCCCCAGTGGTTTTATCCAGCTGCAGACTTCTGTCATCCAGCTGGACTGGACGTTTCTGGAAAAAGCCTGCATTTGACCTCCTATCAGCTGCCCGCTGGTTTTCAAGCTGCACTGCTCTGTTGCCCACCCCATCCCTTAATGCCACCTCAACCTGGTCCTCACTGCCTTTTCCCACTGTCCCAAGCCTCAGCATCTGAGAGTGTCCTGGAAAGGGCTTTGTCCGTGGAGGAGGGAGGGCCGACCTGGGCTTCTCCCAGGGTCAGCTCAGGCTGCCCACGCTGACTTCCGGCTTCCCATCGGCCACTGACAACCTTCCTGGGAAGGCAGGGCGATTATTCATTCATTCAACATGCAATTAATGAGATCCTGCCACGTGCCTGGCACAACACATTTCTCATGCCCGGGCCAGGGTGGCTCAGACCTCCTTGGACAGATCGAGATGAATTAGCAGCTTGATAAATATGAACGATCTCAGTTGATGAAAAATGCACCAAATGATTGTTTCCCTTCATGTAATTACTTGGGTGGTCGGCTGGCCCAGGTGCCTTTAGGGGGTTAAATCAGCAGTTTGCTGGAGCCTTCAGAAGCAGGTGGGAGGCTGCCTCTGCTCTTTTCCCTTTTCCCCCTTCACTGCAAAGACTTTTAAAAAGATGTTATTCCGTGCAATAAACGGCATCTCCTTTAAGTGTGGAGTTCCATAGTTCTGACAGCTGCGGATGCTCATGAGACCACCACCAGAATTAAGATCAGAACATTTCCATCACCCCCGCCCAGATTTCCTTGTTCCATTGTGTGTCTGTCCCCTGCTCTGTTCCATGTCCCAGTGACCACTGATTTGCCTCTTGACAGTGTGTATTAGTTTGCACTTTCCAGAATTTCATGTAAGTGGAGTAATAATAAACGCCTTGCTTCTTCCACGCGGCATATTCATTGTGACATCCATCCTGTTGTTGAACGTATCGATAGTTTGCTCTTGTTCATTATTCCTGAGTAGCATTCCATTACATGGGTCTGTCACAGTTGGTCCATTTACTTGTTGATGAACAGGTGATAACGGATGGTTTCCAGTTTTGAGCTACTGTGGGCGAAGCTGCTGTGAACACGTCTGTGTGTTCCTGGGCTTCCACTGCTCTGGGTAAGGAGAATGGCTGCGACATGGGGTAGGCGTATGCTTAACTCGTAGGACGCTGCTAAGCTGTTTCCCAAAGGGAGGGTGTGGTTGTGTGTTCCCGCTGGCAATGAAGGAGATTTCTGGTTGCACCACATCTTCACCAACTCGAGTATTATCAGTCTTAAATTTGAGCCTTTCTGAGGGGTACAGCCTGGGGTCTCACTCTGATTTTAACTTGCATTTCCCTGGTAACTAATGACATTGAGCATCTTTTCATGTGTTTATTGGCATTCATATATTTTGCTTTGAGAAGTGTCTGTTCAGTCTTTTGCCTGTTTTTTGTTGTTGTTGTTGTTGTTGTTGGGGGCAGGTAATTAGGTTTATGTATTTGTTTTAATGGAGGTAGTGGGAACTGAACCCAGGACCTCATGCATGCTAGGCAAGCGCTCTGCCACTGAGCTATATCCTCCCCACCGTTTTACCTGTTTTTAACTAGGTGGTTTGTGTTCTTACTATTGAGTTATATGAGGACCACATACATTCTGGATACGAGCGATTTTTCAGATGTGCGGATTTGCGAATATTTTCTGTCATTCCATGCCTTGCCTTTTTGTTTTTATAATGGTTTCTTTCAATGAGCAAAAGTTTTAAATTTTTATAAAGTCCAGTTTTTGCTATTTTTTTCCTTTTGTTGTCCATGTTTTTTATGTCTTGTCTAAGAAATCAAAGTTGCAAAGATTTTCTTCACTATTTTCTTCTGGAAGTTTTTTTAGTTTTAGCTTTTATATTTAGGTCTCACTTCAACATTTATATTTTGATGCATTTCAACATAATTTTATATATGGTATAAGGTAAGGGTAGATGTTTATTTTTTCCCATGCATTTATTTATTTACTGGAAAGACCATCTTTTCCTCATTGAATTGCCTGAGTCCTTTTAACAGAAACCGATTGACCATGGATTTGAGGGTCTATTTCTGGATTCTCTGTTTGTTATATTGATCTATGTGTCTGTCTTTTTATCAATACCACACTGGCTTGATTGCTCTGGATTTATAGTAAGTCTTTAAATCAGATTGGCTAAGTCCTCCAACTTTGTTTTTTTGTTTTGTTTTGTTTTTTGTAAAATTGTTTTGGCTATTCTATGTCCTGTTCTAATCCCAACACATGTTCACTCATTTAATCCTTATAACCCTCTGAAGCAGATGTGAGTGTGCAACCCATTTTACAGATGAGGAAGCTGAGGTTCCAAGGGGAAGAGTGACTTTCCTAGGTAACTTAGAGGCAGAAGTGAGGTTTGAGCCTGGGGCGTCTGGCTGCAGCTTCCTGCCCCTAACCACTCGGTGGCACTGCCCTGTCTTTCAGGGTCTGCCCAGTCCCTGTGCAGACCTCCCCCTGCACCTGTGAGGCTGCAAAGAGTTTATCAGTTTCCTTGTCCATCTTCCTCTAAGCCGTGGACTCCACGAAGTCAGAGACTTCCTGGATACCCATTGCTGTGGCCCAGCCCCAGGCTCCTGTGCAGGGAGGACGTGTGGTGAATGTTGGGTGAAGGAGTGGACGCGTGGGCAGATGAAGTCCATTCAGAAAGGGGTGCCAGTCAGCTCTGGCAGCTGGAGGACCAGGCCTCTGCCCGCCCAAAACCTCGGCTGGGAGCTCTTGTCCTGATGTACAGGAGGAGGCAGAATCCTGCGGCCTAGGCTGGCAGAGGGGACGGAGAGGCTGCCGCTCTCCCAGGGACGCGGGGATCGCCGGGTGGAGGGCTGAGCCCGCCTCCAGGCTGGCCCGCACCTGCTGTTGAGACAGAGATACTTAATACGCTTCTACAAGAGAAGGGAGAGAGCAAAGGAGGGGAAAGGAGCCAGGGCCTGCAGACACCCCCTCCCGGCCAGCGCAAGACACGCTGGGGCTGGCGGGGCCTCTGCGAAGCTGCGGGAACAGGTGTCCCTCAGGAGGGCAGAATGAGAGCAGGGCGGCTGGAACTGGGTGCTGCTGTGCCCACGATGTCCGATGCCCGTCTCCTCTGGCTCCCGTTCATCCTGCCTCTCTTCCTCCTCCGGCTCAATCCTAGGAGGTCAGTGGATGGGGAGGAGGCCCACCGTCACCTGGCCGTCCCTGAAGTCCCGTTCCCTCACCCTGCACCCATAGCCTCAGACTCACACAGCACCGAGAACATCACCCAGATTTATTTTCCCCAGGCAGTAAAGTTGTGTTTTCTGAAGCCAGGCCCCGGCGTTCCCCGCTGGGGTGATGGTGGCTCACAGCCGGGGACGAGCAGTGGGTCTGGTCCTGGCGTCTGAGAGGCTG